AAAAAAAAAAAAAAAAAAAAGTAGTTGTTGTAAGGTACAGGCCTTCTGGTAAAGAAAGTTTCTTTGCCTAATATTCCTGTGGAGAGGTAAAATATTTAAAATGGAATTTTAATAGTCATGGGTGCATTTGCAATGCTAGGATCTTCTTACAGTAATTAGCCATTACAACTTTGAGTAAATCACTTAACCTCTCTGAACCTCTGGTTCCTCTTCTCTATCATAAACCATAATCCCTGCCTAAGAATAATGAACACTTAAGCTTTTTTTTAATTCTTGAAGGAAATCTATGCCTAATTCATTTTTCCCCTGGGCCTTGTTTCATCAGTGACACTTTTTGCCTAGTCACTTCCAAACCCTTCTTCACCTCATCTCTTTTAATATTTCATCAAACCATAACCTAGTCTATCTTTCCTCCATTAGCTCTAACTCTCTCTTTCCTCTTTATAGCTATGTGTTTTGTTTTTTTTTTGAGTTTTCCCAAGTCAGATGAAATCACACATGAGAGCAGAGAATGTTAGAACAACTGCAATTCATATTTCTTATGCCTGGAGTAGAAGTACAGACAGAGAAAGTGAAACTAAAAACATAACTAAGGAGATTTCTAGTTTCCAGTGCTTCACGTAAAGAATGTGGGAGTTATTCTTCCACCCTAACAGTAAGTGAAATACTGACCAAATCAACAGCTTTCTCAGATCTTCAGAGAAATGAGGTCACAGGGCAAACTACCCTAACCCACAAGCTAGAGAGACGGTCACATGGATACAGAGAATCACAAATCACAGGAGCTGAAACTATCAAGTGGAAATGTTCAAGGGAACCAGGTGAGAGCAGGAAAACCTGAACTGTGAATGGGGAATTGCTGGAGGCTCAGGGTGGACAAGTCTGAGAGGTAAAAACTTCAGAGTGATACAGTCACCGTGGGGGACCCTTCTCTTTTGTGAGTTTAACTTCTAGGTGGTCCATCTGGTTTTCACAGCGAATTTCACAGAAAAATTCCTTGTGGTTCTGAAATACAGAAGGGAAAAGGAATCATTTGGAATTACAATAGAGCATTCTATTCTTAACAGGTCCTATCCTAAGGAGAGACTACTTAACTAGAGACCAACCCATCTGGAGGAGACAAATGTCCAACTCTCATCTATTGTAGCCATCCTGTTTCACCTATGGAGGTCACAAAACTGAG